ATTATTATTATTATTATTATTATTATTATTATTATTATTATTATTATTCCTGTCCTTGAAAATGGGCTGCGTTTCGAGTCACGCGTTTTTCTCAGACACCATCTAAATTTTGAGTTTAGACAGAGAAGAAAGTTCTCGTTCCTTTTTACCTTCTCCTTCCCGTCTCAAAAATCCAGCATTAGGATGACCAGTTCTCTTTCTGTGAGCAGCAACTTGCTGAGATAACTTCCTGTATTGCACACTTGTGCAAATGTAGACAATGTGGATCCTTTTCCAGCTGAATTGGAATCATCTTGGGGAACACTCAGTTTAGTGATTATTCATATTCATCTTAACACCATTTCAGGGCTCTGCATTCCTGATTTGATCCCTTTGCTGATTGCAGATTAAATGCAGATATAGATATCTTAGCTCTCTTCTACTGGCATTTATTAGCCCTGTATTATGATCAACTTTTTTTTAAAGTCCAAGAAAAATAGTGGGAGAATTCCTTTTCTGAAAACTCAAGTTGTTTTGTACACAGTTTATGAAGAAAGGTCCGCTCAACCTAAAACAAACAGGTTTTAAGAGCTGCCCCCATGCAGTCAGCAAAGAGCTTACTTAACATCTGTGTAAATCAGGGGTGTCCAACCTTGGTAACGTTAAGCCTGGAGGACTTCAACTCCCAGAATTCCCCAGCCAGCAAAGCTGGCTGAGGAATTCTGGGAGTTGAAATCCTCCAGGCTTAACGTTACCAAGGTTGGACACCCCTGGTGTAAATGATCCATTCCATTAAATTGCATGGGAAAAGCCTGAAGTGCACAAGCTCTAGAAATATTGTTAGGCATCATAATAAGTTATTCTGCTTCTGGTAAAAACAAGGACCGTGTACTTACAGTTTTTTTTTTTATTGTTTTACAAACCATAGTGGTGAGACTCATATAATACGATAAAGGCAAAGTAACTGAATAGAGTCTACAATTAGCAATTGTCCCTGAGTATTTCTGTTGTTACAATACTATACATGATTATTAAAAATATGTACCTTAGCATCTTTGGTGAACGCAGTCAGCAGTGGTTATTCAGCAAACCATAGTTTAACATGGAGCATGAGCAGATCCATTTCCACATAGTGCAAAACTGAGCCCTTCGCCAAATATTTTGTGCAGTTGTTTCCTGGTGATCAGCAACAACCTTCTTTTTAAAGACAGATTTTTTTAAAAAGTCATTGTATTAAGATAATTTGTGGTCAAACTGCAGTATTCAGCGTACTTGTCAGAGGTTTGTTAGAAGGTTAAAAATGGACCTTTGAAATGAAGCCGAGAGAGATAGAGGCGCACATAGAGCTGAGTGCCGGGCATTTTCCTAATTCATTTCTAAAAACAAAAAAAAAGGGATTTTCTACATCAGAGGCCCCCCAGTGGTGGGATTCAACCGGTGTAACAACCGGTTCGGTAAGCTTCTGCTTTGCGCACGGTGCATTTAAAACCGCAGTGCTTTTTTAAATGCAGCCCTGGTGAGTAAAACAGCTGAGGCATGGCAACAAAGGAAATAAAGGACAGGCTAGCGCAGGGGTGGGTGGGTAGAGCCAACTCATCACCGGAACTACTGGTTCACCCGAACTGGTTTGTACTGGCTGAATCCCACCCCTAGAGGCTCCCAACTTTTTGGGTACTAAGGACCGGTTCCATAGAGAATGTTTTTCTGTGGACCAGATGAGGCATGGTTTTGTGTGCTGCCTACATCCTACAGATGGGGCTTCGCTTGTTTGCAGGACTCGGTTGCTGGCATGCCACGGCCCATTGCCGGTCCACGGTTCAGGAGTTGGGGACCCCTGCTCTACTTGGTGGAACATCTGCTTTCCATGCCGAACGCTTCCATTTTCATCTGTGTTTGATGTTCTGCCTTGGACAGCCCCTATGAATCAGAATAGGTGATATTGGGCTAGCCCAACAAATAGGCTGAGGCAAGGAAACTTTCCATCTCTCCCTTGCTTTATGGTGGATTTGGGATTCTTTTTAGAAGCAATTTGTGCTGTAGAAGAGAAGTCAACATCTTTTGGTCCCAAGCTGCATATTTTGCAGTCTCTGAAGTCCCGCCTGACCACAATTGCTGAAAATAAATGAAATATAGAAATATATGTAATATACTAGAGAATAGCAATAGGGGCACCATGACTGTCAGAATTGCAAAAGTGATTACTTTGTGTTATTTCCCTTGTTTCAAAGATTGTTCATATACTTATATAACCATGTGGCAAGTGCCTCTCCTTCACATGTTGAATAAAAACCGAAAGTTTGGCTTTTCAGCACTTCTTCAAATATTTACAAGCATGATTTATATCGGGTATCAAACTCACGGTGTCACGTTGGCATCATGTGACATCGTGACTTTTCCCCCCTTCACTAAACCAGGGGTGGGCGTGGCCAGTGCATGATGCATCCAGCCCATGGGCCGTGAATTTGATACCCCTGATTTATATGGTTATAGGAACCTGCCTTATTCCAGTTTGATCATCAATCTGGGCAGCCCAGTATCGCCCATTAAAATCCCAATTTATTTCAAACTGTTTTTCACCACCTGTTA